GGCGTTCCGCCGTTAATAATCCTAACTATCGATTATTTATGAGTGGTCCCAACTATAGAGATAATTTTCCAAAAATAATCTATAATTTGTTACGACTTGGAATAACAGGTCATTTTTAAATGTGAAGTATGTATAAACTTTAAATAATTCCTACTATAGTTGTCCCTTTTTATTACTCTCAACTATCAACTCTCAATTTTCAGAAGATATAGAAATATTTTTATAAATTTTCAAACTAAATATTTTTAAGCATGAAAAAATAATTACGAAAATTCTCCAAATGTACTGAAATTAAATAAAAAATAGTCAGTTTTTGTTAATTTTCACTTAAATTTCTTTTTTTTCATTTTCTAATTTGTTTTTCACAGTTGTGTTACCAATTTATGATTTTATATTATTTTCCTTTATTCAAATTTACATTTTCTATTTTCAAAAAGTAAACTGTGAATAAAATTTTACAATTTAGATCTTTATTCTAGCTTAATCTAAATATCTAAATTTTCTATTTATTCCATTTTAGTATTTTTAATTTTTTCCAATGTAAAAATGTGAATAACTTGAAATGACGATAGAAAAAAGTTTACCAAAATGTTTACCAAAAGTCCACACTTTTTGTGCCAAAATAGTTGGGATTACTATTCCCATTGTGATACACTTCTTCTAAATTTTTACAATTTCCATTATATCACTTAAAATTATAATATTAATACTTTTTCATTAAAAATAGTCAAAACCTATACCCCAAATCACTAAAATTAATCGATAAACTATATAATAAAATTTATAGAATATAATAATATAAAATAAAGAAAATAAAAAGAAACTAGAAATACTAAAATGGAAAAATATAAAATTTAGATTTTTAGAATTAAGATAGCATAAAAAATAAGTAAAATTTTAATCATTATTTACTTTTTGGAAAAAGAAATGTAAATTTGAATAAAGGAAAATAATACAAAATCATAAATTGGCAACACAACTTGGAAAAACAAATTGGAAAAAAGGAAATAATTTTTTAATGAAAATAAATCAAAAAATGACTACAAATGTTTTATTTAACTTTGATACATTTGTAAAATTTTCATAGTTGTTTATACATGTTTAAAAATATTTAGTTTATAAATTTATAAAAACATTTCTACATCTTTCGAAAATTGAGAGTTGATAGTTGAGATTAATAATAAAGGTCAACTATAGTTGCGAATATTAAAAACTTATACATAGTTCACATTTAAAAATGATTTGCTATATCCGGTTGTAACCGGTTAGGAACTATTTTCGAAAATAGTCCCTATAGTTGAGACCATCTAGGAATAATTGATAATTGGGATTATTAATGGCGGACCGGCAATAGTTGAGATTATGATTTTCATGTTTTCCATTAAAATAAGCCTCAAATATACTGAAACGCAGGCCTTACATTGGACAGTTTTTAAGGATGAAATCTCAACTTCATTAATCAATAATATCGTTGGCTAATGTACCAAAAAGAAAATATCATTTGCTACCTGACTTGCAATGCATTGTGAAATAGAAATACAATCAACAGAAACCTCTGACTTTGATACCACATGAGCAATTTGGTTAGTAGAGCGCTTACAAAAATTGGCTTTAAAATTCTCGCATTGAGATCATAGAAGTCGGATAACAGTCATAAATATCATTCGGAAAAAGGGGCAAATAAGCTCATGTACTAACCAAAAAAGATCAAATAAACTCTTATATAGGAGGCTATGTCCGGCCGTCGTCATTTGGGGCGGTTTCCGGTAGAAATTTTTAATGCAATTTTTTGAGCATATTACTCATTAAGTCTAGTTTAATCATACCAAATTTTAGCTAAAACTTCAACCGGGAAGACATTCAAATGAATTCTTCAAGATAACTGTGCAGTTAAAAGCGCAGTTATCTTCAAGAATTTATTTGAATGTCTTCCCAATTGAATTGCTAGCTGAAATTTGGTATGGGTAAACTAGACTTAATGAATAAGATTCTCAAAAATATTCATTAAAACATTCCACCGGAAACCGTCCCAAATGACGACGGCCGGACAGAGCTTCCTATATGAGGGCTTATTTGACCTTTTTTGTTAGTACGCGGGCTTATTTGCCCCTTTTTCCATATCATTCCTCCATATTATTCCTTCATGTCAATTGATTGTTTTGGATCTGTCGAATTTTAGCTCAATTTGTGCTCTTAGATATTACTCCCAGTACAATACACATACATCTCATCATATTTTACAAGTCAACTTAAACATAAACACACCACACCAGGTTAGAAAATTTTTATTCACTTAGAAAACATCTTATAGGATATTTACTAGACCAGACAAGATCAGACTAAAAAAATTTGGTCCAAATAAAAACGTTCTAATTTAAGAAATGCTTGCAGTCAAACTCGTTTTTTACATTTTCCTTGATATATAAATTTCAAGTCATAAAGATTTATTTATTTTTCTGTAATAAATATTGTTTATACAAAATTGTGCACAAAAAATATTAATCTTACTGTATATTAGTACGCATGTATGTTTGTGTGTGATAAAGTTCAAAATAAAATATTTACTCTCATGAAAATTTTGAAAGAATTTAGGACTTTTATTTAACAAATAGTTGAACTAAATAATTCATTCAAAAATCGCGGTAACATAATTATAAATACATGCAGCCCATAATTTAATAATAAGTGCATTGTTTGATATTATGAATGCATTCCACATTCATATAAAAAAAATGTTTATACACATTTTATTCATCACAATTTTGGTGCAACTTTTGGCGTACGTTTAATATACATTGTTCTACTTTTCCGATACAATATATACTTTCAATTTTACCGTTTCATTAAAAAAATCTAGATTAATCATAATGTAATCGCGTTTTCACTGTAAAAATTGATATGATACTTTCAATTTATCATATAGAAAATTGTGATTAATTCGTAATTTCCAATTAGAAAATATTTTTATTTAAACCAAATTAGATACAGACACATGTAAATTGTGTGGTATACAAACTCGAAAATTTAAATATGAACAAATGTAATATGATTTGAACAATAAAAAAGATTCTGGCATCTAAAAAATTCGAAAATTGACGTAAGAAAGTGTAAAAACAATGTGAAATTTCAAAATAAGAATAGTTTTTTTCTTTCAAAATATATATAATTACTTCCATTTCAAAAAAGTGATGCCAAATATAGTATGACATTAATATTGTGATATTAATGTTTGTTGGTGTCAAATATGGCATCATGGTTTGAGTATAATACTACCTTAGTCCCATAAAATTCTTCTCACTTTGACTTGACACGGAGATTAAGAAAGTGGAATAAAGTGGAAATGTATAGTTGTGGTTGTGTAAGAAAAAAGTAAAATGAATGTGAACCACACAAATTATCCAAAAATGGTAAGTGGGAAGAATTTTTTGGGATGACCCAAAAAGGAAAGTGGGAAGAATTTTATGGGACGGAGGGAGTAATAATTAATCTTACTTATACATAACACTTCGTATTTTTGTTTTGAAAACTCCCATTGATTTTGATCCTATTTTGAGAAAGTTCAATTTCCCTAAAATTTTGAAACAAGAAAAGCGAGTTCAATGCTTGAAATGTGCTAGTTTAGAATAATATATATACACATAATGATGTGCTCACATACATAATCCATTTCTTACTTCACTGTTGACTCCTGCTTGCATCATGTAGCAGAAATCAGATAAAACTCCATTTAACAAACGAAACAATACTATTACAATTTGTTTGGATCGGGGGAATAATTTACAGAATTTTGTCTGTAAAATAGTTACTTATTTTATTAAAAGCCGCCTAAACATTACTCCATCCGTCTCATAAAATAGTTCTCGCATTGACTTGGATCGGAGTTTAAGAAAGTGAAAATAAAGTGGAAATGTATGGTTGTATAGTAGTTGTGTAAGAAAAAGGTAAATGAATGTGAACCACGCAAAACTTTCCAAAAGAGGAAATGATAACTATTTTTTGGGATGGCCCAAAAAGGAAACCGAGAACTATTTCGCGGGACGGAATACTTTTGAATGAGCCTTAATAGGCTAATAGCTCTCACTGCACAAAGAATGTCCTCAGTCTACAACTGCACAAAGTTTGCACTATAGAATCTCCTATATGTGAGCCTCTCATTTCGACATATGTTACACGCAATATCAATGGGATAAAGTTGATTATATATATAAAAAAAACTTCGTCTGCCCATGATTCTGCCCTTTTGACCTGATATGAAGGGTCATGTAAAGGAGGACATTGTTGAGAATCATATGAGCCAAAAATATTTAGAAAATGGAATGCTGAAAGATCAACAAGGGTCTCCCCATTTATGTTCAAAGGCTGGTCCATACCTTAAACCTATCCCTGTTTAAAAAGTTAAGTATGGATTTTATCGATATGATACTGTTTTCCCTTCATTTCAAAATCGGGTTTTGGTTAACCAACTCTCGAGGGAGGATAAAATACCTAGACAGATACCGGCTGATTCGAGTTAGTGTAGATAACAATAGATCGATCGCCTAAGAGATAATATCAAATAATCAAATTGACAAATTGCAGCTCGTGGATAGAGATCAAAGAAGAAAGGAAAGAAGAGGCTAGAGATGGAAGAAGAAAGCCAACGAGGGAGAGCATGGTTTGACTTCGACAAACCAATGGTATTTCTTTCAGAATGGTAATCCGATCGTTAACTATATTCTTAATGGTTTTTCAATTTCCCCCTCGGTTATGTGGTTATGGTTTTTTGTCCCTCTATTTTTAAAACCTTCCACCCCTTTTCTACTTTCAATACTCTTCTTGCTCTACCAATATAAGCATTTAAGGGTTCAAAAACTCCCCATTTAGCATTTTGTATCCCTAAAACTTTTGCACTACAAGTAGTCTAATGGAGATGTACTCCTTGCGTCCCTATGTAAAGAACTCGCTTTAATTGCACACGTATCAAGGAAATAAACTCGTTTCTTTGACATCCTTTGACACTATTTAACATTGTTTAGCATTGTGTTATCATTATTTATGAATAGTAAAATAAACTATTAGAGTATAAATTTATTTACCAAATATGGAAATGAAACATTATTTATGTACATTCATAAAAAGAAATTGAGAAATTTATTTAGGGACAGAGGGAGTATAAAGGAGTTTACAGAAAGTAATGTATGCAATCCAGTTTCAGTAATGCAAACGGAAAGTTCTAAACAAGAAAATACATCATTCTTCATTCAAGAAATTTTCTTGTGCTGCTTTTGTTTTTCTTTCCATTCCTCAATTAGAGCTTTTATCTTAGCTTCAACACGGGCATGAAAGCCTGGATAAGGTTCATAGCCAAAGAAAGTTTGAAGAGCCTGTGTATGACATACATTAATAGCTCTCAGTTAAAACATGTGTATATGCAATAAATCCAACCACTTATTTGGTTTCTCATGAGTTAGAAGTATTTATTTACCTCAAACAGGACAAAGAAAGGAGCCATGAGGAATGCTTGTGTGAGATTGTCCAGCAAAGCTGGAGCTCGTTTCTACAATATAATGAAAACCATGATTGGGGATGGTCGATCAAGCATGCTTAGAAAGAAGAAAAGAGCAACGATATCAATTCAATTTACCTCAAACACACCATGCCCTATGAACTGTCCTGTCCAACAGAACAATTGAGCTGCAAGAACTACCTGATCATCATGTGTGACATTACACTGTTAATATATACAAATATTGATATATATACATATTGGTCTTATTATCTGAGCTATCGGGTCAAGTTATAGAAGGCATCACGAGACAGCCTGAGGCAGAGGGAGAAATCCATTTTTCATTTGAAGAACAAAGAGATGATCATGAAGATATAAAGTGTTGGATGGCCTCCTCATATAAAATTGTGCAAGTACAAGGATAGAAATTTACATATAAAGTGTTGGATGGCCTCCTCATATAAAATTGGTATTTTAGGCTGGAAACTCGAGGTTTATTATTATATTAAAATCAATTAAGCAATTGATACTATTATGAATAGAACAAAATATGAATTTGAAAACTGGTATGCTTTTTGGACGTAAGTTGGAATCTCTCTACTCTTTCATGTATGAGAGAATTGTAATATTTGAACAACATACAAATGAAAACAAACTTGGAACCTGGGAAAGATCATGTGTGTCCATCGCGACTAAAAACCCTCACATATATTTCAATTTTCAAGAATGGCCTGCTCAAACCTGTCTGAAGTTGAAATCTCTTGTCTTTAGGGAGGAATCTTTACTCTTCATGTACAAGAGAATGTTTTAATTTTTTAACAGCATAGAAATAAAAAAAGAAACAAATCTTGAAAATAGAAAAACATAACAGGTAGTATATGTCAATTAAGACTAAAACACCACATAAATTTCAATACTGGTCTACTCAAAGGAGTATTAGGCCGGAAACTCTAGTCTTTTACTAGTAAGAGAATATAATTTTAATTTTTAAAATGGAAATGAAAAAACTGTAAATCCTATATATATACCTTCCAAGCTAAGGAGAAACCAAGTAGAAGAGCAAGGCGACTGCTTGAGATCCAGCAGAGAAAGCAAATAAGAGCACCGAGAGAGCCAGACTTGATGTCCAAACCCACATAGAAGAGGCCATAAATTAAGGTCAGCAAGAAGCCAAAGTTGAACACCAGGACGGTATGACCCCAAACCTGAACTGGAGAGGCGTTGAGAATTGGGGGAGTGAAGTAGAGGAGGAGAAGACTGGTGAAGAAAATTGGCCAGACGCAGAGCATGTGAATGAAGATATTCACCGGGTTGCTGTGGTATGCTCCATAGAAGGCAAAGTGCTTCTCCAAATCAAACAGCCCCATTTTACCTATCCCCACCTCTCCTTCCTTTCCCTGTTTCCCGTATCTCTGATGATGATAGGTTAAATTTTGGAAAGATTAAACTTTTCTTCAAACTATAGTAGGTCGATTCTCGACTGGAGACTATCAAGACCCGTCCTGAAAAAATGGAGATCATGTGCAACAACAAAAATTAGAAATTAGGCCTTCCATTCCAACACAAGTACAAATAGAACATATTTAAAGAAGATAATAGTGATAAATTACTGATTATTTGTGTTAAAGTACAAGTTATTAAGACCATAATAGTAAAAATAAAAGCTAATTTAAATTTTACGTTAAGGAATTTAGATTAACAACCTAATAAGTAATAACATAGTTATACTAATTTGTTAAATATAATTAGTTTAATTACTTCATCAATTAATTACAAATAAAAAATAAAAAATAAGAACCTAATTTATTACATTTGATCATAGATGCGTAGGCCTATTAGATAACTAAAATCAGCATCTTAATCACAATATATCACATAATAATCAAGAAGATTAATAAATATAATACAAACAAATTAAGAAAATTAATAATTTATAATTTGAAAGAGATAAACTTACCTGCTTCAGCAAATCAACACTTCAGCGGCCTAGCGACACGGTCAGACACGCTAGGCGGCTCAACGGAGATGTGGGTTGAGCTACTGAGCTTCTGAGCGGACGGGAGGCGGGGTGCGGTGGTGAACCTAGACGGCGGTCGGCGTTCCGCGTCGTCGGTCGTCCTTCTTCCGTTTTCTGTTTTTTCGCTTGCAGAGGGCGATTCGATAGTCGATTGGGTGGATGCGTTGGACTAGGTGCTCCTGCCCTGGGTCGCCTGTATATATATTATGAAGAAGAGAGAATAAAGGATGCGATTGGGGTCAATGAGCGCAATTTCTCAGTTTTTCTTTCATTTTTAAGTCCACCCATTGCCGTCGATGGTACGTTTCCAGGTAGTCACACTTTTGGCATGTTAGGATTGTTAGGTTCCAGGGGAGGAATTGTTAATACGAAGTACTACGTGCTTCGTAATTTAATTCTTAAAAAAAAAAGGATACACCCATCCGTAAATTGGACTATAATCTCAATCTGACAGATAGAGAGTGGGGCTCTGTCTCCGATACTTGCAGATGCCCTATGCATTTTTAAAATATTAACACCTCATCGCAGTTGCCGAGATTCGAACCCGGGACCTAACCCTTGTGGCACTTCCTTGCTACCAGTTGAGCTACGCCCACCGGTTCGTAATTTAATTCTATTTGGGTTGGTAGGGTGCTAAGCTAGCAAGTTTAGCTCGAGTTCGGCTGAGATTAGACCTGTACAAACACGGCCGACTCGCCTAGCCCGCCCATATAAATCGGCGGGTCTGGACATGTATTGCCAATCGAGCAGGCTCGAGCCCGAACCGTAAAAAATATGGGCGAGCTTGGGTTATATTGTAGGCCCGTTTGGGCCAAAAAGTTTGACCCGAAAAATCAATAATATATGTAGTACATATATCTAGTATTAATTTATATAATACGTATTATATATATTTTAATCTATACTCGTACGTACACAATGAACCTCATTAGTTACCGAGTACTTCATATTACTTACTCCTTATTTCCCATGATTGAACCCTATATGCTATTACTCATCATATTAATGGCCTCAAAGAAGATCTAATTAACCTTACTCCCATTTGATCGGCAGAGTAGCGGTCGAGCGGCCAAACAAAAAACATACTAGATTACTAGAGCAGATCAATTCTTCAAAATAGTTTTTGTATATCATGAAGGCATATTTATATTAGTTTGTTCATTAATTACTTTTAAAATGGTGTGATGTTATTTTAAAAATGCTATCAACTTTTTCATCAAATTTAAACAATGGTAAACTTTTCCGGGCCGGACAGCCCGGTGAACTATCTGACCCGCTACTATGGGCGGGCTTGCACATGGGAGGTGGCCCATTTGAGCCGAGCGGGGCCAGGCCCGCCCACATAAATGGGCAGAAGTTTTAGATAAAGCCCGGCCCGAGCCCGTGTTTGTACAAGTGTAGTTGAGATTGATTCGGGTTTGATGAAAAAAGACCGAATTCGAATTCAAGTCGATTTTTAATCGAGTCAGAAAATCTATGGTTTGATTTGATTTGAGTTCAGATCCTAGTCGAGCTCGATTTATATTCGAGTTTTATATATCTATTCTAAAAAATGATATATTACTTCCGTCGCGGTCACAGTGAAATTTGGAAAGTTTAGATTATGTGATGAATAAGAAAAATAAAAATTGTGTGATCAAGATTTGCGCATGTGCAAGAAAAATGAACAGATCTAAAAATTAGTTGGTTTAATTAGAAAGTGACAAAGTTTTTAAAACAAAAAAAGTTGACAAAACCCATTGAGAACGAGGGAGTACTTGCAAACAAAGGTTTTGTTTGAGTTGTTATACAATTAAACACATACGTGCAATCATCAATAACTTTTATATTTAAAACACTGTTTTAAAACTTTCTGTCTTGTTATCCCTTATGAGGGCTCCATTTGTCATCTATGATTTATTCAAATCCAAATTAAACTAATTTCAATTAGTGCTACTTGAGTCTTGCATAAGGGCATCCTCATCCATGAGTTTATTTGAAGATTAATTGGATGATGTGTAAGATTATTTTAAAGATTGTCATTGTGAATGAAAGATTATTTAGTCAGATTATTGAAAAAGAAAATCCGGTATCAAGATTCCAATCCCGGATTATTTTAGATTATAGTTAAATTACATTTAATGCATGTTCGGAAAAAACTGATTATTTGAGTATTATTATTGATGAAGAGTTTTAAACTTTGAGATTATTTAAAATTTATTGAATAAATGTGATGTGGTAATGATATGTAATAAAAAAATCGTTTATTTAGAGAGCATGAATGGAGATGCTCTAAGAATACCTAATATCCGTATAACATGTTTAGAACATTGTCTAAAATGTAAAGCATTATATGAATCTCCAGAATATTTTTAGCATAAAATAAGTGTAACTCTTTCGTCATGCGTATAAATCTAAAATAATCAACACTAATTCATAATCGAGTAATTTGTGAGCTTTTCGAGTTTAAAGTTTAAAGATGATCATTATCATCTCCTCATCCTTCAATCCTTTCATTTTTGATAAATTTCATTTCAATTTTTTTTTCTTTTGTTTTGATTTATTGATTTCAATCTATTTTAATACATTTCAGATTTTTTTCCTAACTATATTCTTTTTTCCTATTAAATGCTCTTTCAAAATATTACATTCTCTTTGATTTTCAAAAATATTAATTACCATTTTCATTTTTCCAAAAACTGCTTCTTTATTCGAAGCTTGATTTGAAATTAATGTATTTTTATGATTTTATGATACTATCTTTATCAAGATGACAATGATGTTTTATCAAAAATAAATTTTTATATGCCATATTTTCAATCTCAAAATGTCATATTGGAAATTAATTGTGGTATAATTTTTATGGCACCGACTTTACATACGTGAGAATATACTTACGGTTTTTCTATTTTTGTTCTTTTTTATCTCATAGTTTACACTTCATTATAATATGTCATTAATTTTTAATCTATATAACGTCATAATTTCATATGAAAACATCATAAATTTAAATTTGAAAAAATCATGTTTTGCATTTGGAAAACACTGTATTTTTTATACAAAAATTTCATGCTCTACTTGATTATACAGAAATCTCATTATTATTAATTTTGTTACTCCGTATAATATTTCACTTTCCACATTTTAAAGTTTGTTACACTTTCTTTTTTTGGATGTATTTAAATGTATGGTACACTCTTTTTTTGGTAAGTTTTTTCTATAAAAATACCCAATTATTCTTACTTTTTATCTTCTATAATTTTTACTTTCTCTTCTGCTTTTTCTACACTATTTCATTATTCCTACCATTTCACTCTTAATGTTGTGTCAAAACTTATTGTAGGGAATTTTCATATACGGAGATAGTATACGGTAAATTACACCGTACGACCGACTTTACGGTGCTCACCGTACATCCGTTTTTTTTGTAATTAAACCTCCTGCGATTCAGCCCTGCAACCAACGAAGACGATGAAGGATGGCAAATCAAAAGTCTGGTGCAACTCACGAACGCATATCGCCGATAGCCAAGCTTCCAAGTGCAACTCACGGCTGAGATGCTTGGCCGGCGCAGAGACGGCTCTACCCCTGCGAACGATTCCTATTCTTCACTGCCTATTTTCCCGTCTCTTCTAATTACTGGCCTGCTATATGTGCTGCCACAATTTTTTTATACAAAATCTATTACTACCTCCGTCCCAAAAAGAGATGCAAATTTGACTTTTCTTAGTCAAACAGTCTCGTTTTGTTCACTTAATTTGGATGTCAATTTTTAATTATGTTCTAATTTTAAGTTTACAACTTTGAAGATATTTTAATGTAGTTTATGAATATGTAAATTTTAATTATTAAAAATTGAATTAATTATCCATATGGAGTGTTGACTTTTATTATTGGTTGACCAAAAAATGTTGACTTTGCAAAACAAATTGGGACGGAGGGAGTATGTTTTTGTCGTAATATTATAAAAATGAGTTTTATATTAAACTCAAATGAGTATAAGCTTAAAAAACATGAACATACACAAATAAATATTGAGCATATTAAAAATGAGTTTTATGTTAAACTCAAATGAGTTTAAACCCAAAATGAATGAGTATTCCAATTGAGCTATTGAATTTTTTCGATACTCATTTTGTGAGTTATGTGTGCTCATTTGGTACTTCTTTATGATCATTTTGAAATGTGCAAACATATTGTACTACATTATATTAAACTCAAATGAGTATAAAGTCCCAGATGAATGAGCATACACTAATGAGCTTTTGTATTTTATTTTGATACTCAATTTGTAAGTTATGTATGCTTATTTGGTACCTCTTTATGCTAATTTTAAAATGTTTCACATTTCAAACGTATCATACCAAACGAAAAAACAATAAACCAAAAGTGATATATAAGGTTTGAAGCAGATAGCACTGATTCTCACCGTTAGACTCCTAATACTCAAAGAACAAGCTTGATGCTCATCAAAGTTGCATAAATGCTCATTTAGGAGAATCCACGATTTTCACAAAAAATACAAGTTTGCCATCAGCTGTATAGTGATCACTGTACAGCCGGTTGTACAGTATATATTGCCGTTTGAAAAGAAACCTAAGAATAAATTATTGTATAGTTTCCTTAGTTGATATTGCCTTAATTGAAATTAGGTAGCTACCATGTTTATTATTACCGTTGTAAATCCTCCTATATATACTCTTACATGCATGTCAATAATACTAGGGTTAATTATCTGTTTAGGACTAAAAGAAGGCTGGTGTTCACAAATAGGACCAAAATACAATCCTATGTTTCATAGGACATATAATCATCTACTTGGACAAAAATGCCCCCATTCAATTATTATTTGTATTTATAAATAAAAATGTAAAACGAAAATCTAATATAATGAACATTCACTTCTGTGACCCTCAGTGCGGCTGCAGTCTGCCCGCTGCCTTGTTGGCATCGCCTGCAGTCGTCTCACCGGTGCCGCCAGCCACTGTCTCAACGGTGCCGCCCGTCGCCATCTCATCGGCGCCGCCCTAGCCAGTACCGTCTGGTACTGCCTTCTGCCTCGTCGGCGCATCCCAAACCAGTGTCGCCATTCATTGCAGGCCAACCGCCACCGCCACCACCACTCTGAGCATTACCATTGTGAACTTCAGGGCCGCCACATCGCCTCCGAGCACGATCGCCGCCGTCACAACTCCGGTGCCAGAAACTTCCAAAATTTGGCAGATTTAGTCTAAATTAATTTGAAATCTTCCATGAACAAGGATTTGAAATTTGCCACAGATTTGGCAGATTTATCTTGGAAGAATAATAGAAACTGCCATAAATTTGGCAAAATCATGAAAGGAATAATCAAATGTACGAAAAAAATAATGGAATAAGAACTCTAACAAAATGGAATTAGAAATACGAAGTTAATGGACAAAATCAGAAAAGCCCATTTACACACAAAAAAAAATTGCCATGATCTGATTGTCAACGTACATTTCTGCCACAAACTTGGCCAGATCGTGTGCCATCATCCGAAAATTCAGGAAATTAAAATGTTTAAATACTCAGAAATCAAAATACGAAAATATAAATCTGAAAATTGACAAAATCAATGTCAAAATTATCCAAAAAACCAGAGGGACATAAATTACCCCAAAAGTCATAGAAATACGAAGAAGAAGGAGAAGAGGAGAATGAAGAAGAAGAGAAGAAGAAGATAAAAAACTGAAATATGGAGAAAAATAAATATGATGATCCAATGGTCGAAGGCGGAGGCAACGAAGACAGATGTGATGAAGGTGGAGGTGGAAGAGGTGGCGTGCGGTGGCGTGCTGCGAAGTCGTAAATCTGGAAGGGGGAGACGATTTGCAGAGAAGATCGGCGAAGATGAGCGTTGTTTTGCGTCTCGAGAAGTATCGATCGCTTTGTGCAGAGAGAATGTGAGAGAGAGATGAATAAATAAGTGTAGGGGCAAAAATGAGATGCCAATTATCTATGTTTCATAATAGGAGTAAATTGGTCCTATTTTGAAATAAAAACATAACAAGTCCTATTTTTTATTTTTAACCTAGTTTTACTCCTATTTGAAGTAATTACTAATGATACTACTAGTTTTCCAATTACAATGTTTCAATATGGTATCAGAGAATTGCCTTAGAGGCAAATTTTTGTCCTCCGTAACAAAGCTTTTACAGTAGCCTTTTCTTTCTCAAGACCGGCAGCTACTTTGTTACAGACCCAGTTTGACGGCAACCATCTTTCCCTTTAACATGAGTTCTTCTGATGAGGACATTGTTTCTTCCCCAACATCCCAGCCCGGCCACGATGATGCTCCTGACTCCCGCAGTGCAACCTCTGGAAACCGTCCTTACTTGGACCTTGAAAGTACTTATCAGATGCTTTCGTCGGACAGTCCAAGCGTTGTCCTTGTTGGGACTGTTCTCATGGGTCTCGAGAATTACAACTCATGGGTAATAACGATGACCATGGCACTCAAAGGTCGAAACAAATTTGCTTTTGTTGATGGTAGCCTTCCTGCTCCTCCTTTGCACCTACTGTCCTCTATGCCCCTGATGCTGCCACCGTGTGGCGGGATTTCAAGGACCGCTATTTCACTGCTAATGACCTCCGCATATATGAACTTGAGCGTTCCATTGCTACTCTTCGGCAACATGATGACTCTATCCCCTCTTACCATAATAAACTTACTAGTTTTTGGGATGAACTCATGTTGCTTGATCCCCCGTCTAAATGTTCTTGTTCTGCCCGTGTTCAATATCAAGCTCAAACTGAGCGATGACGTCTTATGCAATTTTTTATGGGACTCCGGGATACATATTCTCAGCCTCGGAGTCAACTCCTACTCAATTCAGAATTACCTTCTGTTCAGCGTGCATATTCACTTCTTCTCCAAGATGAGGCACAACGTGCTCATCATCCTATTATGCCTTTGGATAATATTGCTCTCCAAGCCGCTGCCCAGAGCACCACCGGACTGCTCGGCCCAGCTCCTACCTGGAGCCACTCCCGGACTTCTGCAACCAGCCCATCCCGTCTGGAGTTTCCTCATTGTCTAGCTCTTCCACAGTCAATGCAACCCATGTTTCTTGCGGTTCTAGTTCCCATCGTTCCCATTCAAAGAAGCAATGGTGTGCACACTGTGGCATCCTAGGCCATTCGCAACAAGTCTGCTACCGTCTCCATGGTTATCCTCTTGGACACAAGTACTATAATCATTGTTGGAAATATTGAGAGTATTTCAAATGAATAACACCTTATTAATCAATTTTATAAATTAGATATTTTCATATATTCTAATCAAATATTGTTTAATGCATGTTCACTAAGTATTTCCAAATAATACCGTTAAACAGCCGTTTCCTTCAGGGGTTAAAACATATACGGAGTAGGACATATCAATTAAGATAATTAATTTGATATGGAATACGTTGATCTTTGTTTAATAACATTTATCAACTAATTTTGTATGGCCAATTGGAATCCCTAGCAGCAACGGCTACCAACGTTTATGATCAACGGACATTTCAATTACTTTATGATCTTAGTAAAACGGCTCAAAATTTATAGCCACTAAGAACATTAACGTTGGCCATTAATTTTATAGCCATTAACGTTGGCCACCAACGGCTGAAAAATATGTGTATATATATGTGTTCGACCAAACCTGCTAGGAAGTAAGAAAAAAGAATAATTTTGAGCTAAAACATCCCCTAATATATTACAACTCTGCTGGATTAATTTTATTCTACTCTCGTTGTTCTGTTACCGGCTTACGCCGAAGAGCTCGTTTTATCTTGGAGAAAGGTTTTCGCTAGTCGGAAATACTTTCTTGAGGACAGCGTTTACGCGACTCGAGCTATATTATTTTCTAACGTTTTTTTTTGTAGGTTTATCCGGCCGAATTTCACCATCATAATCGTGGCAACACACATGGTGCTCCAACTGCCTCCAAGCAGCCCAACACAGAACCAGTAAGTCATGACACAATGCAGCAGTTGCTCCATCTATTACAAGAGGTAAAAGAACCCAAGGCCAACATGCTTGGTACGTCTCTTGTCCTTGCCACTTCCCTTTACTCCGCTCATGATTGGATTATAGACACCGGTGCTAGTGATCATGTTAGTTTTAATTCTACTGTATTTCTTAGTCATCCTATTCCTTCTACAGTTAAAATGCGTATTTTTATCCCTAGCGGTGACACTGTTCCCATTCACGGCCTTGGGGATGTTCAACTCACCCCAACTATCTTTTATTCTAACTATTGCATTTTTCACAACCTTTTGACGAAGAGGGAGATTGGTCGGGGCCATGAGCGTGGTGACCTTTTTGTTTTTTCTACTTCACCCCCTTTACACAGTTTATTATCTGTTAATAAAAAACATTTAACTTCTAAATTAAAGTGTTCTGATTTTACCAAACCTTGTCATATATGTCATATTTCTAAACATACTCGTTTACCTTTTCCTATTCATCATACACATACTAGTGCTTGCTTTGACTTAATTCGTATTGATATTTGGAGAAAATATAAGCATCCCACTCGTAATGATCATTCTTACTTTCTTACTATTGTTGATGATTTTTCTCGTATTACTTGGACTTATTTGATGAAATTTAAGTCTGATGTTTTTCGCATTCTTGTTCATTTTTTATTGTATGTTAAAAATCATTTTAATACTTGTGTTAAAACCTTTCGTTCTGACAACGGCTCAGAATTCACTCAACCTGCTTTTAGTAATTTCCTTTTATCTCATGGCATTCTAAGTCATTTTAGGTTTCCTAGCTGGCTAGCACACCCCAACAAAATGAGGTTGTTGAGGGTAAGCACCGTCACCTCCTTAATGTGGCACGTGCCTTACGGTTTCATGCTGGCTGATAACCGCTTTCGCGGCGTTGTAGTAAAACGGAGTCTAACCTTTCGGTTTTTCCCCGAGTATCGTGTCTCTGAGGAATGGCGGAGGACTTTTCTTAATTTAGTCTTAGTCACGGGCTATCGTTAATCGTTGGAAGCTTTTTCAATACAAAAAGGGTGATTGTGTTCTAAACTAGGCCAAATTACAAAATTACAACTAGGAGGAAATTTCAACTAAAGATGAATGTTTAAAGATCAACTATTCTAAAGATTAATGAAAAGATTGAGGCAAATAAGGTCAATGAATTGAGTAATTAGAAATGAATATATTCTTGGACCTAGAAATGGAATTAATACTAAAATTGGACTAATAATTTCTTTTCTCATAGACAAGAATAGAAACTACGTTCATTAATTTATCTTATCTCCAGGTTTCATTAATGTATTCAAAAATGGTTGACTTGAATTAAATTCTATTCTCATAGACAAGATAGAAATAATTCTCCAATATTTTAATTAATAAAAATAGCCAAATTCATTAACTAATTAGACTCATTATTTAAGCAATTTGAATCTATTTCTCATAGACAAGATGTAAATCCCTTTCATTAAAATTTCCTATTTCTAGGCCTTATTAATGTGATTGAATATGGTTGGCTCAAATTATTTTCTAATCTCATAGACAAGAATAGAAATAATTTTCCAAAATTTAACTAATGAAAATGGCTAACAATTATTAATTACTATTTCATCAATTTAAATAACTAGTCCAATTCATTAATTTTAACCCCTAATTTTCGGCTAACAAGTCAATCCATATTCCCTTAGTCAATTCATTCCCAAAACAAATTTAGCTACTATACATTATTTTTGCATTCAACAATATAGTAAATAAATTAAACATTAACAAGGAACTAAACATTTATAATAGGAAAATTTAAAAAAAATAAGATTGTGTAAAACTAAACTTTCTGAAACTAAAATATGATGTTTTGTAATTTTTCCCGAATTTTCTAACCTAAAATCCAATTTTAACAACTAATTGATAATTTTCCCAATATTAACTAGACAATACAAAAAGCAACTAGAAATATTCTAAATTCGTTTTAAATTTTATATTGACTACTGGGGGTGATATTGCAGTGGAATAAACTGGAATTAGGACCGAAATAATTTTTTTCCTGTTTTTAATTAATTAATTTAAATTATGCAAAATAACAAATAGTTACCGAAATTAATTAAAAATTACACGTGCTTCGTGAAAATTAACTTTATTCAGATAAATAACAACCATGAGGATAGTAAACAACTACATAATTAATTGGAATGGATTCAACATCAACAACTATTTTATTTAATTTTTGGAAGAAAATAAGAAATAGTTGATAAATGTTCTGGAACTTTTAGAAGAACATACCGAACAAACAAGTTGTATGTTCAGATTCTACAGATCGAGAGGATGAAAATGCATATATAGAACTTACAATTTGAAGCTAAAATGAAGAAGATATGGAAGATTGAAGTTTCTCTCTCCCAAAATCCTTTGAAACGGAAACGGCTAGAGAATAGAAGCTTTTCGAACTAGATTAGGGTTTGTAATGGTTTGTAATCCTTTGAAGTTGAATAAAAGCCTGCTATTTATAGCAAAAAAAAATTCCGTAGGCGGTCTGGAGGGCGGCCGCCCTTCGTGATTAACCGGCCGCCTGTCGTCTTTTCGTCGGCAAAGAATCGTGCCACGCGTCACTTCGCCACAGGCGGTCACGGCAGGGTCTGGCCGCCTGCCGTCATTTCACACCGACCGGTCGTTGGCTCCGTCGTTTTGTGCCATAGGCGGTCACCGAGGGCGGCCGCCCTTCGTTGAGTGTCGGCAGCCTTCGGTCTTTTCCGGTTCCGATCAAAATCAGACTTTTGACTTTCCAAATTAGCCATAGGCGGCCAGTTAGGCTGTCATTTTGGGCGCCTACTGGACCGCCTACGAATAATTTCCACAGATTTGTTTCTTATTTTATGCTCTACAAATTTCCCTTCTGTATCACTTTGATATTCTGCTTCCTTCTTTTGATATGGATTTATTTGTTACTCAAATTGACTCATTTTATGCTCAATTGACCCGAAATTTCACGAAACATATTATGAAAGTAATTTTCACTTGAATTCATGAAACTTGAACCAAAATATCCAAAACATGCCCTATTTTTCTGTTTTCTATACAAAAATCGCTTATTTTTGATAAGAAAAATAAGTACAAAAATGGACTTATCAATCTCATCACACTTAAGCGTTGCTTGTCCTCAAGCGATAAATTGGTTGGAAACACATTCAAAAAAAGGTAAAACCTGACTGTATTACAATCGAATTGCTATTAAAGAAATAGAAATAAAAATCTCTTCTTTTATTCTCAATTTTTATACATTTTTTAAAAACCACCCAAAATACAAGAATTTAAAATTATTATTACTTAATAAAAAAACTATTGATTATGTTAAACCACCAATCAATTCCTTATCCCAAGGTTTTCATTATTCTAATTTGGACATTTATCTTATTTACCATTTTTTTCTCTTTTTCACTCTTGTTGTCGGTGTTATCACATGGTAAATGCATACTTCATTCTCACAGACTGTGATTAACAAATGAAACAGAGCCCCTTTTCGGAGATGGAATTGTCCTATAACAATGAGTTTTGAAGAGTTTTATTAATAGTAACATTTTTTTATGAATAAAATGAATGTCCAATCAAAACAAATTCAGTCCTTTACATTCGCAACCAAAAAACCATAACAATTTCAAGTTTTCTAAAAATAATAATAAAAGTAAATTCTTATAATAGGGATGATTCTCTAAGCTATTATGTGATTGATAACAATTGAGAAGTTAATGTTTCATATCAAAAATAGTAAAAAGATTGTTCTAAAACAAGGTTTTAACTTTTTGAGTGAAACGCAACCTCCTCACACTTGAGCTGGACCTCGCCCTCGAGGTCTCTTTTTAATGCACAAAGTTTTGAAATAAAGGCACATTTTTTTTGTTCTTTCCTCACACTTGAGTTTTGAAAAGATTTTGTGAAGAGGAATGATGAAAACGGGAATAAAATTGATTTAAAAATCCTTACATCATCCATAGTCAATTAGTCAGTATGTATGAGCATTCAAGTCAAAATAGCAGCGCAATGTCCAACCTCAATAAACAAACAAATAAAATGTTAAGGAAGAAACAAAAGCTAATCAGTGCTCATCCCGTGGGCCATAGTGAGATCTAAGCCAATCCTTTATCTGATCGATATCCATCTGCTGAGTCTCTATCTGCTGCCGCATTTGTCTGACGGTGACCTCCTGTGCCAGTCGATAGTCTCGGAACTCTGCCAGGGTCGTAGTCTGTGTCTCTTGCATCTCCCTGATGGCGGCCTCCTGTGCTGATCGAAAGTCTCGGAACCCTGTCACGTGTGCTTCCCAAACTCCGAGAATGAGGTCTGAAGACTCCTCATCCCGTCCATCATCGCTCTCCAATCGGGTGCACTGGGCATGTCCGATGATGAAGTACCAGATCCCCTATGTGGTGGTGCCCGGGAAGAGCTGCTCTACTCAGCCGTCTGCTCAATGCTTGAGAGCTCCTGAGTATTCCGCTTCTTCTTGATCCTCATATTGGCAAATGATGAGGACCAAAGAACGCGGATGTTATCCGGCAGTGGTAGTAATCTGGGAATGTCCAGGTCAGGGTAGAATGACCGAACATGAATCCTGATAAAAGGCCCTGCCTGAATAGTGCGGCGGACACTCTTCCCTTGGCTCCGGAAGAAACGAGCCATAAGGACTGCCATGTTCACCGGGCTGTGGTGAATCAAACTCCAAAAGAAGAAAATGTCCTTTTTGGACAACCTGTTCGTGTTGTTAGGTCGTCCAAAAAAACCACACGATAGTACGAATGAGAGTATATACCAGTGTGTCTGCCTCCATCGGGCCGCCAAGGGGTACGTGTGAAGAAAGACCCCGGTGTTCGTAGAATGTGTGTGCTAGAACTCATTGATGTCAAATCCCTCAGGTAAATGGGTCGAGAGAGCGCAGAACTTGTCAGTCTGTGTATAAGCCAGAGCATAGAGCCCCATCCTCCA